CAATGTGCATCCTAGAATAGCCAGGAATGGGCCCAAAATGTTTGTAGGTAGCATTACACCACACACAAAGGGCAGGACACTTTGTTAAAAGCTTGGTGGCCAGCCTGTGGGTAGAAGCTTTATGAAATGAGGTGCAGTTTAAGTTACTCAGATTGTTGACAACCAGCCTACATTTGGAAGGGCTGCTTCTCCTCATCCGCTTTGCTTCCTAACAACTAGGAATTGAGCAGCTTCTTCTGTTTGCTTGCCACAGATCCAAAGCAATAAAGACAAGCAATTATGGACTGACACCTCTGAAACCATTGGAGAAAATAAACCCTCCCTCTTTATAAGCTTATCTCAGTTAGTTTGTTACAGAATTGCAACGTTAACAGCAGTTTGAAGAACAATTAACACCCTGCCACAATTATGCTAGTCTCAATTTTGTTATTTGTTAAATAATTATCAGATATAAATGAGTTAACTCATGTAAAATCATTAACACTCATGTAGTAAATTTACCCAATCCTATAATCACTAAAATAGAATTATTTTTTGTGACTTGCCATCCTGCATGGTTCAGTTCCTTTCTAAAGTAAAATCTACCTGTCAAGTCTCCCCAGCCTTCACTATATTAAATTTACTTTGTGGTTACTTTTCTATTGCTATGATAAAACACCATGGCCAAGACAGCTTACAAAGGGAAGCATCTAACTAGGGTCTTACAGTTTCAGAGGGTAGGTCCATGACGACAATGCTGGGGAACAAAGGAAGAAAGAAGACAGGCTAGAACAGTAGCTGAGAGTTACATGTGATCCACAGCCACTCAACTCAGAGAGAGAGAGAGAGAGAGAGAGAGAGAGAGAGAGAGAGAGAGAGAGAGAGAGACTGGGCCTGGCATGTGCTTTTGAAACCTTAAAGCCCAGTGACATACCTCCTCCAACAAGTCCATGCTTCCTAATATTTCCCAAAAACAGTTCCATCAACTGCGGGCCAAGCATTCAAATATAAAAGCCTATGGGGGCCATTTTCAGTCAAACTACCACAGTGCATTATATAGGAAGATGTCTAAATATATACAAACAGGTATAGTAATACCAAATAAGCCTTATTTTTGGCATAAGTTGATGATAGACTCATTTCCTAGTTCAAAATGATGTTCATGACTTCTCAGCCTTTTGGATGAGATCAAATGTCAAGTGATGTTTATTCTGCTGACCACAGAGGTGATGTTCACTCTCTACATTAGCTACTGCTTTCTACCCCAGTCTCAACGGGCAGCATCTGTTTTCTGTTGTTCTCCAGTTGTCCTAGGACATCTCAGGTGAGCAACCATTCCTTTCTTAAAAGGCCATACTACATTCTTCCTACTTTGTATAAACATACTAGCCACTATCCAGTCTTGTTTCAGCCAACTGTCACATATTCCCTTCCATAAACTCCCTTCTGACTGTTGTAAGCTTATGTGTGCCGTCTAGGGAATCTTAGACTCTGTTTTCCACTTCTTCAGTGAGTGCTCTGAGAAGAGCCAACTTTGGACACTGACTCAGAGATTCACTAAGTGACTCATAGGAATGGGAGTAATATAGCAGCATTAGCTGTCTTCACAGACTACTAAAAATCTATACAATTAATGTCATGCCCTTGAGTTTAATTCAAAATTAAGCTGCAAGTTGGTACATGTGGCTGATGAAAGGATGTTATATTCCCAGGGACAGCCCCTCAGGCAAAGATGCTGCCACTGCCTGGTGGCAGCCTCCATGGGGCCATGCAACAGAGGTCCCTATATCTGTCTTCCAAGACACTGCATTTGTTGTTGTTGTTGCTGTTGTTATTGTTTTAAAATTAGCAGAGAAATGTTATCAGAGCGTTGTCTGATTGAAAGTGTTATAGATACAGTAGTGAGAAACCCTGCCCACCACCACAGGTGAGATGAGACTTCTCCAGGGAAGTGGCTAATTCTTACTTGATGGTGAAACGTTAAAAGTGAACCAGATGATTAAACTTAATGGAACAGACACATTAAGCTGAAATTAGTAAAAATATGCCTTGGGCAACCTACAACCTTTTATTTGTTGTTGTTTAACTTCTGTCTCTTCCAGTGGCCATGAAAAATGACATCACAAAAGAAAAAATCCAATTAAAATCTAAGTGCTCAATAAACCCCTAATGTCTGCTTGTTGCCAGTGCTCTCCCAAGCACTGGCGTCTTCTGTTTTCTTTCTTTCCCGAGAATAGAGAAAAGAGCTGGCCCCAGGGGTGTTCAGTGGAAAGGAGGAGAGTGAGGAGAGATGAGGGGCTGATGGGAGTTTTTGCTGCCTGCACTTGCACTGGCAGAGCCAGAAAGCTCATGTTGGGGACTGAGAGGAGGGAGGAGGTTAAATTGTTTTATTATCAGTCCAAGCCTGAGTAAGGAGATGCATTTTCCTTCTGGTTTTCAAATATTGATAAATCAGAATGGCAATCTGCATCATAGTCCCTGTTCACACTTTCTGGCATCTCCCCTCTGCCTCTCTATCGTCTCAGGTGTTTGTAGCATAATTCATGGAAATGGTCGCTTCTGACAGCTAAAAGTAAGTTTCTGATTACTTTTACCTGAATAAATCTTGTGACCGGATGTGGTATTCGCCAACTAAGTGGGCAACAATTACGCATTGAAGATGATGAAAGAAGCAGCCAAGGAGAGTCTATAATCTAGTGGAATAAAGAATAGAATAAATCACGTGTAAAGACAGCAGTTGCCACCAGGTAGAAGAATACTGCCTTTTCCCAACGGATTTTACCTCATAGATAGGAAGTATTTACAAAATTAGGTTTCCACGGTCCTCACACAAAGTTCTCAAAGTCAGAAGAGCAAAAAGATGCTGATGACAAATCCACAGCTGATGGTCATGCTCGTAGAATATTTTCTATTTAGATGGCTCTTTATAATTCATAAAACACATACCGTGTTTTATTGCATGTTTATGTGGCAATTAATGAGGTATTTGTATATGGTCTCTAATTAGTTCTTCACAGCCACTTGTCCTGCAGCTCTTATTATCCTCATTTTACTGATGAGGGGCCTGGCTTGGTAGCTTAATTGACTCTGTTGTGGTCTTACACCTGGTGAGGGACACAGTGAACGTGACCTGTACTTAGGACTCAGATACATAGCCCACATGTGGCACCCGGCTGCCAACCATGGCTGCCGACCACAGCGGCCCAAGAGCATGCATCCGAAGGGCAGCAGTAGTGCTTGCTTTGCTCATGAGTTAATAAAATGACTTTTGAAGAGCTCTCTTCAGTCATTAGAATCTGTCAATGGAGAGTTAACTTTTCCCTAGTGGCTCTTTCTGTGTCATGGTGGTTTCAGCGTTTCCTTGGCACATCACATTACACAAATCATAGAGCGCTCTTGTTTTACATTTCTTACTGCATTTGTCTCACTTCTAAGCAATTTCCTCCCTGTTCGCATTTTATCTTCCATTATTTCTGCCAAATTGCTTTCAAAGCTACTAATTGTATGAATAATATTCTCATTCTCAAATTCAGCGATTAACTCAGTGTAGCTGTGTGGCAGTGGTCACAGTCTCTCTAGCTCCAGAAATGAGACATTGTACCAGATATTCTACAGGGCACCTTCATGCCGACAGAGTCTCATCTTTGACTCTCACTTGAGCTGGGTGTGATTTTGAAACACTACATAAATTGGAACTTTGGGTTTCCTGCCTCTACAGTGACAGATAAGATACTCAGGATTACAAAAGAAACTTTCTGGGAAGGCTGTCACAGGTCATACCCAGAAAGGATTGCGTTGAACACTAAAGCCCCAGAAAGTCATGTTATACAACATCATGCCACATAAAGTCTGAAATTCAGACCCTCATTGCCACTCGTATGTTAGTAGGTGACTCCAAGAAGGAGGCAGATTAATTATTTCCCAAGTCACAGGACCAGAGAACTCTTTCCTTCTGTATAGTCCGCAGAACATATTTCTAGGAAACAGCTTAGAATCATCAGTTTCCTTTTGCTTTGAGAGTGCATCCGCAGGTATTTTAGAACAGAGGTTCTCAACTTATGGGTCACTAACCCATTCATAAAGGTCACCTAAGAATATAGGAAAACACAGATTTACATTATGGTTTATGACAGTAGCAAAATTAAATTTATGAAGTAACAATGAAATAACATGAGGAACTGTATTAAAGGGTCACAGCGTTAGGAAGGTTGAGAACCACTACTGCAGAAGCTATCTGGAGCATTTCATGCAGTGTTAATCAGGACCATGGATGCTTACCTACTACAGTTACCAGGTCAGCCAGCTCCTCCATGTGAAGCCTGTAAGGAGATTCTGTAATTAGCATGTCTGTTATCACCGGTGCCTGTGACTCTGGCTGTTAAATGATGCTTCTAAATGATAATCAAACACATTGTGGAAAATCTTGAATAGAGTTAGACTGCTAAGAGACCTAAACTTTTGCTGGGTAGAGGGAAAAAGAATTTAGGAACCCAGTTCTGAAAGGGGATCTTTGGGTTAGGCTACAGGAATGACTTCTCCATAATTCACATAATGGCAGACTATCCCCATGTGTCTCTGATGCAAACACCACCGTCCTCTTTAACAGTGGAGCGCTTGGAGAATGACTGTGCACACACTGTGACTAGGAGAGTCCACTCTCAGGGTCTGCCATCCTGAGTGAAAAGATTTGTCCAGTCTAACTTATGTGACCATGGGATCTTAAAATTGTGTCTGTCCTTAGTTTTCTCTTCTTTAAAATAAGAAAGATTGGCAAATTTTCCATTTCATTCTAGAAAATTCTATGATTAAGAAATGTGTGCATTAATGGATGATATTTTCTATTGGAGGGTTATGTAAGTAATTTTAAGTAGTTAAAAAAAAACAGCATACAGCTCTACCTGCCTTCAGAAGCTGTTAATATCAAATAACAAACAGTTAAGATAAGCTGCATGGTAAAAACAAAACAGTTTAGGATCACGTGCTTGACTTTTATTTTCTTTAATTTTTTTTCCCTACACTAGTTACATTCAGACCAGGATAGAGGAGATGGATCACTTAAATATATCCTTTCAGGAGATGGGGCAGGAGATCTCTTCATTATCAATGAAAACACAGGCGACATACAGGCCACCAAGAGGCTGGACAGGGAAGAAAAACCTGTCTACATCCTTCGAGCTCAAGCTGTCAACAGAAGGACGGGGAGACCCGTAGAGCCCGAGTCTGAATTCATCATCAAGATCCATGACATCAATGACAATGAGCCAATATTCACCAAGGATGTTTATACAGCCACAGTCCCCGAGATGGCTGATGTTGGTGAGTGAGATGCAAGTTGGACAGAGTGAGGTCTCCACACCTACCAAGGGAAGAATTTAGAAGCCAAATCCCCAAACTACCATATGTCCTTTTCATAAGTGCACCCCCATTGTCTAATGTCACCCTAGTCTTTGACTACTATAAGAAAAGGGCATTTCCTATAATGATAAGGGTATAACAGCAGCAGGGAGAGGCTGGGAGGGAGCAAGGGAGGCCACCTCATCTGCTTTGTCTCCCAGTTTCTTGGACTGATAGACAGCAGCCTTATCTATTGCTCTCAGCCAACATCACATTTACTCTGGGGCAGGAGACAATCTTCCCAGTTAAAAATTGAAGCCTGGATTTCCACTCCAGTCTCAAAGATGCTGACCAGAGTCAGAAGGATGACTCAGCAGGTAAAGGCACTTACCTCAAAAGCCTGATGCCCTGAGTTCAATACCAGACCCACATGAAAGAGGAAGGAGAGAATGGACTGCACACATACACACAATAATAAGAAATCTGTTTAATAAAAAATAATAACACTGGTAGTTGCATTGAGTAACTATGAATTTGGGAGAAAGACTCCAAGAAAGCTTTTTTTTTCAAATCTACAAACAATATGCAGATAATAAAAATGTCCATGAGCTTTAACACAGAGGATTAATATTGCATACACTACTTCACTGTCAAGTTTAAGTTTAAGTTGTGTGGACTTAATTTGTTTAAGCTAGAAGGAAGTAAAAAGGATTTAAAGAAAGGAGTAAGTTCTATTGCTATCACTCTTAGAAGCTTTAATATACTTCATAGGACACAGTGACACACTCCAAACCACTAAGGGAAAAGGTTGTTTTTATTTTCACTCTGCCAACCTCACAAAGGTGAAAATTACAGAATAAATTTTCTCTAGTTGCATATGAGATGCATCTAAAGTTCAAAGGTCAGAGGTCCAAAATTTGAAAAATATTCAGTCCAGAGAAGTGATTGTAAAGCATCATTTCTTTCCCCTGAGGAACAAATTGTCACATTATTCGAAGCCACTTTGTTCTGTTAGAAAAATCTGAAGCCATCATCAAAGCAAAGAAAGCAGTTGGAATTATTTTTAAAGAACCTTTTTTTTTCTTGGATGGATTGGAGGATATTTTTCTTGCAGGTGGTAAAATTGTCACTGGCATCACCTGCATGAATGTAATGCCCTGCACTGCTCGTAGAGAGTGTCACTCAATTTTAAAGCCAGGAAAAAATTAAATATACATTACAAGTATTTGGGAGAAAGCCCAAAATACATATCTAGAGAATTACTATTGGCATAGACAAAGGAGTCTTGAAAAACTGCACATAAAGGTAATGGGAAAAGGGTTAAAGTGAACTTCAGTATCAAATTAGAAACTGTCTCCACTAATAGCCAGCAGGGCAGCCTTGGGCAAAATACTTGATTTATCTGATCTTGATGTCTTTGATCGTCCAATTCCACATCTACAAAAATAAATAATAAATGTCATCTCCCGAAGGATAATCATGAGGATTAAATAAGAAAACAGGAGTAGAGCCTCTCCTTCAGTAGCTGCTCCTAATGGGTGCTTAGTACACCAGATAATCACATTCCAAAGGCAAGCAGAACTTATATTAATGCAAATAAGAATTTGGGTGTTTGTTGACTTCCATTAGCTCTCTCTCTAAAGTCTCAGGAGGATCTCACTCTGACCACTTAACCTGCCAAATTGCAAGGGTGTGTATTGTGTCTCATGTCTCCGCAGGGTACAGGGAGAGCCAGGACATCCAACCCTAGCACGGTGCACTCTATTTGTTTAATAAATGAAATGGTTAGGTATTACAAAAGCAATTTTAAAATTCTTTTATTCTCTGCATGGAACTTCCCTGCCCTTCTCAAAGACAGAACCACCACTGCCTGTCTGATAGGAATATCAAAAGGCAAAAGGTCTTTTTGGAACTTCTCACCCATGTAACGGACATGCAAACACACACATGAAATTAGTATGGCCTTAAGGCACGGTAGGAATACTTCCAAAGTTCTTGGGTATGGGCCCACAAAGTAAGAATGACAGCCTAAAATACTATAGCTACCTTTGTACTTTTAATCTTAATTTGAAATTATACTATCATTGTTTACAGTGTCTTGTCCCAGTCAACTAATGTTTGGTTTGGTTTTTTGAAACTTGTAGCCCAGGTTGACCTTGAACTCACATTATAGCATAGGATGACCTTGAACTTCTGATCCTCCAAACTATACCTCAGTGGGGGATGAGATTACAGGTGTGTCACTACACCTGGTTTATTTCGAGGTGGGGTTTGAACCTGGAACTTCCTACATGTACTTTATCCCCAGCCCTAACTAATTCTTTATCTGGTCTAAACTACTCCCTTAAAGGTTCAAAACCTTTCAGCCTCTTAGAATTATCAAATATTTGAACAGTCCATAATAGGAAACTTGACTCAAACTAGTTTAAACAATGAAGATAACTGCTGGTCATGGTATTTAAAGCAAAGTGAGTTTTGGAAAAATTTGATCTGGATCCTGGCTTCTTGGTGGTTTTTTCTGTCCTACTCAGCTCCGTCCCCTGGCTGGCACATCTAACATCACAATAGCTGCTACAATTGTGGCTTCATGTGCCACATTGCAGGCCAAGAGAAAGGGCATCTGGGACACAGAATTTCAGCAAAATTACAAAGTGGCCACCCACAATTCAAGAGGCTGATTGTTTCTAGGTACCTACCTTAGTCCTAAGTAACTTGAAAGAACCCTTGAAGCAAGAGTCCAGTCACATCCTATCACGGGAGAGGGATAGGACTCACCTCTACCCAAGGCTGCCCTTCTCTTTAACCTACTCCATACTCTATTCATTGATGTGAATCTGATCCCTTTCAAGTGAAGGATCAATGGCTTCCTAACAACATATATTATACTGTGATTCTCAACTCTTTTGTCATGGAAGCTGGTATTCTAGTTGACTTTGTAGTGCTGTGATAAAAGACTATGACTTTCAGGTTACAGTCTATCATCAAAGGAAATCAATCAAGATGGGAACCTGTAGACAGGAACTGAAGCAGAGACCATGGAGGAATGATACTCACTAGCTTGCCTTGTATGGTCTTGTTTACTCACACAAATCCAGAACCTCTTAAGACCCCAGGGGTAACACAGCCGACAGTGGGCTATGCCCTTCTGTATCAACCATCAGTGGAATATGCTCCAGATACATGCATACAGGTCAATCCAACAGAGGCAATTAAATTGAGGTTCCAGCTGCTGGGGAATTCTTGTTTGGGTCAAGTTGACAAAAAAAAAAAAAAAACTAACCAGCATACAAGATAGCTTAGTGCAAAGATATTTGCTTCCAGGACTGGTGACCTAAATTTGATCTTCAGGATTCACACAATGGAAAGAAATGATTTCTACAAGTTGTCCCCTGACCTCTATTCATGCACAGTGGCATGTGTGAGCCATCACATGCACACAAATATACACATACACCAAAATGTAATTTAATTTTTAAACTAATTAAGATCATGTTTCTTCATATGCACATGAGCCAAGCAACATAATGAACCTTTGTTTGTTTTCAGTTACGTTTCTGTCTTTGCAGGAACGTTTGTAGTCCAAGTCACTGCAACTGACGCTGATGACCCAACGTATGGGAACAGTGCTAAAGTTGTCTATAGCATCCTACAGGGACAGCCCTACTTTTCAGTGGAGTCGGAAACAGGTCGGAATACTTTCTTCATCTCCTAGTCTACATTCTGTAATTTTAACTGACGTGTTCAGCTGACCTAGCATATTGTTTAATAAAAAACAATTAGCATGATTGGATTTTCCTTGTGTCCCTCTGCCAAACTCTAACAATTTATTTGTAAGCATGACATCCAGATAATTTTAATAAAGAAATTGACAATGAGTCTTTTACAACACACATACAGGATGGGAATCATTCCTTTCTTTTTCCATCCAGTTTGGCATGAAGCTGAAGGAGTGATCCTTTCTGAGAGTGGCTAGCCCTATTCACAGAAATCCTGGCTTCTCTTTTCTCTTTTCTAATTACTTGATGGTGCCACATCTCTCTGTTCTGCTCCAAAGCTAGGTATAGCCACGGGACATATTTGCACAAATAAAATGTGGCAGCAAGATAAGTCACTTCCAACCAGAGTTGTACACGATCTGGCACATTCCCTTCCCCTGGTCACAGTGATCATGGAAACCCTTGTTCAGACAGGGCCTCAGCCCAGATGCCGGAACGTTCCTGGGAACAGAGGTCCCTGCCTGCCTGTTCAGAGCATGAGTCAGAATTGAACCATAGATCTGTCACGCCACTGAGATTTTTGTCTCATCCTGATGTCATGGTCTAGCCCATCCTGTCCAACACATCCCTGGCCCAACAAATCAGCTTGCCTTATGGAATCTTTTTTACGGCATCTTATTTTTCTGAATTTGCCCTACAGAGTCTAAGTGGGATGCTGGACTCACTGCTGCCTGTCACAGATGCCAATGAGAAGAGACAGGAACTAAATCTTTAAAACCACTTTATTCTGAGAGCTGGCAATCTGAGAAGACAGCAGATTAACATCCAAAAAAAAAAAAAAAAAAAAAGCTGTCTTCCATCTCATCTCCCATCAGTAGATTACAAAGAAAGCAGTCATTCTGGAGCTCAGCCTGCCCTCTGGTCAGATGGCCAGACATGTTTCTGAGAACTGCCATGCCTGAGTTTCTCTCATTATCATCTCTTACAGCCTCCCCTCGTTTTTGTGGATGTTTGGGGCTCGAGCACTTCTTGGAATGCTCAGTCAAGTTAGTTGATATCAGCCTTATTCTCCAGGGGCATCTGGGCTTCCAGAGGGTTAACTCAGAACAAACCAAGCATTGACAGTGCATGCTTGCTGAGCTATAAATAGCTCGGAGGTGCCGGAGGCCTCTCCACAATATGGAGCACAAGTGTGTCACATAATGCAGAATACAAAAGCTGTCTCTGTCCAAAGTGCTATCGGGTGGTTTATTTTTCAGTATAAAGCATTTGTATTATACAGGAGATTCTATATGTATTTTGAATCAAGTTCCTTTCATATATTATTTTTTTAAACACTCTTTATTTTAAGCCAGAGCTTTTCTGGGTTACTATATCCAGCTAGAGATCTATGTGTTAAAAGGTGAATGAACCTGGAAAGAATCCCAAGGAGAGAGAAAATGTTGAGTTAAAAAACAATGAGAAGGAAGAATTAGAATTACCCTACTTAAAGGACAAAAGGCTAAGGTGATTTCCTGTGTTTAAATAGAGAAGAACCATTATTTGGAGAAGAGAAAGCCACTGCTCCCTGACGCCAAGACTCTGGGAATAAAATTGACCTGTTGTCTGAGGCATTCTTGTTAAAAAGGAAGAAAAGATATTTTCGGCTTCATTAGTGGTTAAGCATGAGAATGTGAGACCGGAGAGGGTTACAAAGCCTACTCCAGTGATTTTTAAAGGAAAGTTAATTTAAGAATAAACACTCTACAGAGATTAGGCAAACTTTGAGAAATTCTTTCAAGTCATTATCTAACTGCCTAACAGTAGAGGCAACTTTAACCTATCTATCTTTAAAATGTTGGTTGCTGTAGGGATTGCTGGGATGCAGTTCTCATCCCCTGTAAGAAATCCCAAATTCTCCAGGATCACACAAGATCATAATCAGGAGGAACCTCCGGCCATTTTCCTTAGCCCATAGTTTTGTGGCTTATATGACCCACGGCACAGTCATTACAGTAGGTACTCTTGAGGAGCAATTAGCCAAGTTGATAATGTGAAACTCTGGTGTCAGCTCAGGCATATGGCTTTCTAAACTATCCTCTCAGAGTACACCCCAAAGCTTTTTATCTAGCATCAAGTGTAGTATGTCCTCTCATGCCATAAACCGGTTGTGCTTTCCAATGTCATCCTACGACATTTATATTGTACTACTCACCGTCTCTTTTGCTCAGGCTTCCACTTGTACTTGTTTTCATTCTCCTTGTATTACAGGCTTTTTAATGAGTATCTCTCCCCCTGTGTGATTGCAATTTCCTTCAGTAGAAAGGCTGCATATAATCATCTTTATATCACAGTGACATCTGCATAGTGTTTTGCATATTGTGGGTGACAGTCTACATTTGTTTGCATAAATAAATGATTCCATAAAATACTGTTAATGCATCCCCTTCCACTTCTGAATCTCAATTTCACATCCATAGGTATTATCAAGACAGCGTTGCTCAACATGGATCGAGAAAACAGAGAACAGTACCAAGTGGTGATTCAAGCCAAGGACATGGGTGGCCAGATGGGAGGACTGTCGGGGACCACCACCGTGAACATCACGCTGACAGATGTCAATGACAACCCGCCCCGTTTCCCCCAGAGTAGGGACATTTGATTGAACAGATTTCTCCAATATGCTTTTGTAAAATTTTGACTTTAAGAATATTTCCATTGCTGGCACTGCTGTCAAAATCACTGGACTTAGGAAGAATTGGCACTTTTATTAAAATTATTTAAATGAGTTGAAAACACCACTTATGCTCAGGAAGTGTGAATGCTTATGCTCTGCCATTGGTAATTAGCTGAGTGATTCCTGATATGGCTGCTGTTGTAAAAGCAACATCATTGCTTTCTCTTCCCTTATTAAAATGACTACCATAGACATAAATTTGCTTGAGCAAAGGATATGTATACAAGTATGCTACTGTTTGTTAGGAAAAAGTTGACTTTATGTTTTTATGAACTAAATCAGGCATGTAATCTCTGTTAAATGTTCACAGAGCTCTGCAAGGAAGGATTTATCATTTTCCTAGTTCTAAAAATACAGCTGGAGAAGTTGCTATGTGCTTAATCCATTTGTAGTCATAAAGAGTTTTTTACAGGATGGTTAATTGAGATACTGAAAATCAACTCAGATATCATTAACTGTCATTACCAAGTGAGAAGAAAACACAAGACCCATGAACACTGCCTTTCTGTCAAGCATCACACTAGACTTTCACATCCAGCCACCCAGGGGGAACTGGTTGTGATGCAGTTTTCCCTTCAAAAACAGTTGCATTTGTGACCATGCTCCCCTGAAAAAGTTATCTGAATTGTTAAGCAAAACAATGTAGCTGGATATGGTGCCTTACACATACTATCCTGACACTAGGACAGCTGTGGCAGATTCCAGGCTACTGTTCCATAAAGAGTTCAAACCAGCCTAGGAAGACCCTGTTTTGCAAAAAGACGAGAATTCAAGAGAATGACTCAGCAATTGGTTTAGAATACTCGGTGCTCTTCCAGAGGATTCAGGTCCAAGTGGAGACTCAGGATGCCCTAAGCTCCAAGGGATACAATGCCCTCTTCTGGCCTCTGGGACCATCTGTACACACATAGCAAACAGTCACACAGAAAAATAATAATAATAATAATAAACAAACCTTTTTAAAAGAAGTAGAAAGGAAGGAATGAGAGGAGAGCAGGAGGGAAGGAGAGAAGAAACGGGAGGTAGGAGAAGAGAGGGAGGGAGAAGAAAACCCACTTACTCTACTGTGGCATTTTTTAAAGATAGCCAGCTAATACAGGCTTCCTTTAGAATGGGGATCCAAATGATCAGTAGGACACAGTTTCATCTTTTTATTCCCCAAGTATATAATCAGCTGGCTAAATGACAAAAACAGAATAGCTAATAATGTATAATATAGGCAGAAGAAAAGTTTTATGACCCTAAAACTTCTCCACAAGTCCTAAAATGAAAATAGCATGCTCACCAGTGCTTTGCCCTGGGGAGGATAACCCAAGGGTGTCTGGCACTTGGCTCTGTGGGGATTTGTCACTTGCCCTGCTCTTTCCTTACATTGTCTGTTACCTGCTACCAGGCCATGTGCCAAAGCAAGGAAAAAGAGAATGCAGAACAATCTAGAGAAATACTTAACATATTTTGTTATTTTACCAAACAGGAGCCCAATATTCAGGGAATTTGCATCATTGAAGACCTACATATACTTTAATGGTACCATAGTCTGATGGAGGTTTTGTTGTTGTTGTTGTTGTTCCAAAATCATGTATGAATAAATGGCAAATTATAAAAGATAGAATAAATTTCAGAAGGCAGCTATGTTCACCACTTACCATCAATGCTAAGACAATTTTTGTTTCTACATAGACACACACACACACACACACACACATTCTAAGTATATGCTGGTCTACAAAATTGTCCAATCAAAGCTCAAACTCACATGCTATCTTTAAACTAGTTTTGCAATATGAGGGTATTTAAAAAGAGCAACATCTACAAAGTACGGTTTTAGATTAGAAGTAAAAATAAAAGAATGCTGACAGGTGTGGTGGTACACACTTATGATCAGGAAGAGGCAAGCAGATTTCTATGAATTCAAGGTCAGCCTGATCTACACAGTGAGACTGTCTCAAAACCAGGATTATACATGTTTACATATTGTTATATAAACACAATATATAAATATTAGGTATATTTATATATATATTACATAAAGAAAATTGCTGTAATGAAATTAAGAATGAAAGAATGAGTTAGTCAAAGGAAAAGAGTGGAGAACCCCATTGCTCAGTGTACTTCTCCATACCCCAAACTGCTCAGATTATTAGTCAAATCATGGCTACTTGAGTATTTTTTCCAAATTGCCGTAATTTGCTTCCACCTTCAGCTTGTATTAGCAAGGTCAGGAAGAAGTCCTGTTAAGAACACATAATAATTGGCTTCAAGTCCGTCCAGGTTAGGTTTTCTATTCTTTCTGCTCTATTACCTTCGTGGGGCTTTTGAAACCCTCCTTTCCCTGTTAGTCTCGAAATGACAGCATGAACTTGGGAGCTTGTTTACAGAACAAAAAAAAAACACCCCGCTTGCAAGCAGAGAGATATGAAACAGAAGGAGGTGTCTGATTATCATGATAGTAAAGACATAAGGAGGATAGGGCACAATTAATTAATTTGAAGAAAGCATAAATCTTCCTCCACCCACAGTGAGGTCTTCAAGGCATCTCCCCTCAGCCATGATTGGTCTTTCTTCTGCTTCACTTATTACCAAGCACAGCCAAAAATATTATTTTAAATACTTTTATTGCTACATATCATTATATGAGCTCTGTTTTCTTAATAAGAAATAGGCTATTGCAGATAGTCTATTATTGTTCGCAGTTTATATGTTAAACTATCAAAGATATGTATATATTAAATAAATGCAGAAAAAAGAGAGTACTTAACCTGCACTAAACCCTTTTGTTAGGATTTAGTACTAGTTACAGTTAGGACTCCACTGGAGATCTTTAATGTACCCCTAATGGTAAGAGTAGACTGCTTATTGGGGTAGAGTATCTCCTAGCCTCTGATTCACTTGTCTGTTTGGTGATTAACAGGTACGTACCAGTTTAAGACTCCCGAGTCCTCTCCACCGGGTACACCGATTGGCAGGATCAAAGCCAGTGATGCTGACGTGGGAGAAAATGCAGAGATCGAGTACAGCATCACGGATGGTGAGGGCCAAGATATGTTTGACGTCATCACCGACCAGGAAACCCAGGAAGGAATTATAACTGTCAAAAAGGTAATGGCATTGATGTGTGTATTTATTACAGCTCCCAGGACAAAGGAGATGGCTCTATACATAAAGTACTTGTACAAGTCCAGGTCCCCAAGTCTGTACATCATGGCACATGGTGGCAACTCAGGTCTGGAAGAGCATTGGAGAAAGACAGAACTTGGAGGCTCCCTGGTCAGGCAGTGTGGCTGAAATAAGAGTCAGAGAGACAGAAAACATGATGTTGACCTCTGACCTCTGGCCTCCACACACAAATATGCAGAGTGCATGTGCATACACATACACACACACACACACACACACACACACACACACACACACACACACAGAAGCATGCACCCATAGAAAAGGAGAGTTAAGGAGATGTAAACACAACTCCATATTAGATTTATTCAACTCCAAATACTATTGTTTAGCAGGGGAAGGAATAGGCTGTTTATCGGTGCCTCTACAAATAACACAGCTATCGAACAAGATAATACTCTTAATGTATTACCAATAAGAGTGCTTCCCTCTGCTTCCCAAGGACAATGACGGTCTCCTACAAACATTTCTTCAGGTGCTTCTTTGACTCCCTCTTTAAAAACGCTGATTCTAACTGCACTGAGATCTCTTGGGTTGACTTTTAGTCGTCAAAAGTAATTTTATGTATTCATTACTTCTATCACTTCCAATAAATTTCTACAAAAAAATCCTCTAAGTAAACAATAGGAACAAGTGGAATGCATAGAAATGATTAAATAAATGATATAAACAATAAAATAGACAATGCCCTTACAACAGAAGATCTCTGTTGTCCTAAAACCTACAGGCCAGGAGAAAACCAACAAGGAAGTGAAGAAACCACTAAATGAATGTGCGCATGCAAACTATGAAACACACATTGGAGGAAGGGCTTAGTGCAAGCAGGGAGCAAGATGACCCGGATTAGAGAGAGAGCCTATGTGGAGATCACACATTTAAGCCAATGAGGGAATGTCACATGACACCTTCAGTTACTTTCGGGAGCACGAGAACATCAAATCTTCTCCTCACCAGCATGCTTGTGTGCTAGTTGACCTCGCAAAATTGGCTGGCACCACAGAGCCCTAAACCAAAGTGTGGCTGCAGTTAAAACCAACAAATTGTGTGCTTCGGGGCTAAAAGAATTGATTTCGTTAATTCTCATTGATTTCTCTTTTGTCATGTATAGTACAATAGCTTCTCCCTCCCTTGGCCCACTGTGGCTTGCTGCTGAACATAAGCATGGTGGATGTAAATAACAAGACAAATTTCCCTCTTAAGAACATGTCTGAATATCTGGAAGCACAGTAAAACATGCTTAAGCGACACTCAGACCGATGTCTTAGACCCTGATATGATTAGGAAGCCCATTACTGTGCATTAACCTTTTTAATTTCCTCAGTGCCTTATCAGATTCAAACTGAAATTTTGCCTAGCTGACTAAATCGCATTCGCCAGCGTCTTGATTAATAGTGTTTCTAGCGAGCCTTGTCATGATATCATCTGAAACTACATGTCAGCAATATGCATTTGGGTTCACTACGTCTTCAAAAGCAAAATCTTTCCCTAAAGGTCTTTGACAATGGGGATCATTGCCTTCTTTGGCAAGTAATTAGCCCTTGTGAGGATATTGGGGAAAGGTTTTACTAACTCCTGCAAAAATAACTTACTTATTCTTAATGGGCAAGAGAGAGTCACGGTGCTAATCTGTAGGTCACAATTCTGGCTCCATTCAGACTCAACTGAAGCTGTTTAAAAATCACCACACATTATTGCAATGTTGAATAGAGGCAGCAAAGTCAAGTTGAGATCAATGTTTTTCCCGCATGCTACAACATTAGTAGGGAAACTATTACATGGGTTGTGAAGAACCATGATGTAGCCATGAGAGAAGTGCAGCCCGAATGTCTGCTGCTGCAGAAGGTGTGTACCCAGGCACTAATGCTATGCATATGGGCAGGAAGGGAACTGGGTACAGGGATTTGTTTCAGTCTCCACCAGAGAAAGTTTAGTAGGCAAGAGACACTGATAAGATTAAACGCCCAGCAGGTAGAGCCAGATGTGAGAACCCTTGGCAAAATGCTGCCACTCTCCCTTTGCAATGCCCTCTATTCAAACCCAAGGTATTTTATAGGAGAGGGAGACTGAAGCAACCCTTCCTGCCCATATGCATAGCATTAGTGCCTGGGTACACACTTTCTGCAGCAGCAGACATTCGGGCCATACTTCTCTCATGGCTACATCATGGTTCTTCACAACCCATGTAATAGTTTCCCTACTAATGTTGTAGCATGCGGGAAAAACATTGATCTCAACTTGCCTTTGCTGCCTCTGCCCAACATTGCAATAATGTGTGGTGATTTCCTTAAGCAGCCCGATCCCATTCATTTATCAGAGATTTGCACTAAAACGGTTTGTGTGTTGCATCATTTTCTTCTGAAGCTCTTGGATTTCGAAAAGAAGAAAGTGTACACCCTCAAGGTGGAAGCCTCCAATCCCCACGTCGAGCCCCGATTTCTCTACCTGGGTCCCTTCAAAGACTCAGCCACGGTGAGAATAGTGGTAGACGATGTGGATGAGCCTCCCGTCTTCAGCAAACTGGCCTACATCCTACAAATACGAGAGGACGCACAGATAAACACAACCATAGGTTCTGTCTCAGCTCAAGATCCTGACGCTGCCAGGAATCCCGTCAAGTAAGTGCATGTCAGGGACATCTCTTTCATAAGCCCATTTTTTTGTAGGGGGATTGGGGTTTTTTTTGTCCAAACATCCACCTGCTCTTTAGAAAAAAGGAATCCTTTTTCCAATTAGACAGCTGTGTTTTCCTGCAAAACAGTTCCAAATAGCACCTTTAACTGTCCTTGCTCACTGCATAAATATTGTTCTAGCGATAGTATAAACCTCAAGTACACAGAAGTTGAAAGAAAAGAAGCATTAAGAGGAGATACAACAGGAGTTCACTGTTTAAGTGAGGTATATAAGGTGGTGCAACTGATTGACCTGGGCTCTTTGTAAGGTTTAAGGTGATCTACTGAAAAGTGAAACCCAGAAATAAAGCAGCCACTGAGCTTGACAGCCAGCACACTTTTCAGGTGCTGGAGGACCTATCATGTAACACTTAGAGGCAGAATTATGCTCCGTTCAGATGAATAGTTGCCCCCTCGCATATGTAAATAAAAACAAGAACTGTCTCGTGATGTGTCTGAAATGCCGGGGAAATTAGTAGGATAGAATCCAAATGAACGCTCGGTAAACAAGCTCCATCTTGCCTGTGCTTTGCTGGATCCTTAGATATAAATCAGGTGGCAAGAAAGCCCCGTTGCTCTCCTAGGCCACTGACAACTTGGGGATTCTAGCATCGTATGCAAATCCTGGAGTGAACCAGCTCCCAACCGTCAGCCAGTGGCTCGGTAGAATTAATGAAAAAGGGGCTAAATCAGAGTGCTGTGGTGTAAATCATTCCACAGAGATTCTTGCCAGCGAGCCCACGGACATATTCGGATCAGGGTACCTGCCACACACACCATGCACATTGTATTCATAAGGGGAATGCAACATGAGGTCCTCCATGTAGCTTACAGAGAAGCATAAACAACAGATAAATATGCCATAGGTCAGGTGAAGAAATTCTAAGAATCAAATTAATGGCGAGATTGTTTAAGATGGTGTAACCAGACTTAGCCTTCCTAGTAGGAAATCTATGCAGTAAAGATTTGAAAATTGAAAAAAAAATGTAGGGATGAGTCGTGTAGAATCCTGGGGGAATACCTGCAAAAGAGAAGAAGGGGTCTAATGCTAGTGATGACTTACTCTGCTGCAAGAGTGTCTAAGAGGTCTGCATATCTGGAGAAAGCAAAGAGGAACTGGGAAGGGGGAGACGGAAAAGAAAGGAGGGAGAGGAAGAGAGAAGAGAAAGAGAGAAGGGGAAGGGAGGAAGGGAGGAAGTAAGAGAGGAAGGAGGAGGTAGAAGGGGTCAATTGGGAGGCAGGGTGGTTTGCCACAGTGGAGTTTGTGAGTAAAGGCTGAATTTTATCTAATTGAGGTGAGAAACCATCTGGAAGCTTTGAATAGAAGAGCTACCTAATCCCAAACTATACTTTTAAAGAGTCATCCTGCATGTTATGTGGAGAATGTCATTGCATAAAAAAGAATACATAGCTCTAAGTAAATGTTCTCTAGCATCCAGTCCCCTTTGTTCTGGTCAAATCTCATATCTAAAACACACAGATGTCTGCTCTATTCTCAGGCCACCCAGAGCCAAGCTTTATCTATCTGCTGGAGGATCTATGACACACTAAAGAGGGCTGGGTCCATCAGGATAGCCCCGTGTGAGCTCCATGGGCCCAGTATTTCCCCATGTAAATGTAAGATGCTTGATCAAGGAAATGAAAGGCTGCTTTCACTGCCACAGCACACACACTTTAGGTACTTTTCACAACTGTTCTGTCACTTGGAGCTCATTCTAAGGGGAGGCGGGTGCTTGGAAAGTCAGTGTGAAGTCCAATTTAAAAGTGCTAATGCTAGAAGTTAACAAATATGAGCTCCAGGTACCTCTCTGATAGATCGATATGCTCTCGATTTGAAGAGAAATGTCTCCTGGAAATTCAGGATAAAAACTTTTATATTAGTTTTTAAAGGAAATGCCAGTTTTACCCACTGCATTATTCTCTGTGAATGGAAGTACTCATCAGGTGGGTTGGTTGTTGGTTCATTATAAAGGCTTTTACTGCCAGCCTTCCCTCAGCACATATGGATTGATGTGTAAATATAGATTTTAGGTCTAGAAATGTACATAGATTACTCTGGTGTATCAATGTATGTTCGTGATTTTACTTATAGGGCAAAACCCTTCATGTATTAAGAAAATTTGCCTATACATAGTCTAGGGTTAGTCTAGACATAAATACTAAACAACTACATAAGACTGTTAGGTGAACAAATAATTCCTGAATTGTTGAGTTTTTATGCAGCCACCATCTTTAACTCTTCAATCACAAAACAATCTCCTACTATAACTTTATCACAATGTATTTTGATACATACAGGAGAAAACATGTCTAAATATGTGTCATGCATTATGTCTGTGTGGGGGCTAGAGAGATGGCTCAGCACTTGTGGCTCTTACAGAGGACTCAAGCTTGGTTCCTAATACTCATATCAGATGGTTTATACTGCCTACAACTACAGCTCCTGGGGATCTGATCCCCTCTTCTGACCTCATTAGATACCCAGGCTCCTGTGCTCACACACAAACAAACAGTCATACACATCAATAAAAATAAGTCTTTTTTTGTATACATGTAAATACAACTTTTTTCCCAGCAAATAAATCTCTGTCACTTGAGGACACATTACAAGACAAATCATTTAATCACAACACAGTGAAGTCCCAGGAGAGGAGGTCAAATGATCCACTACAGTCATGTAGAGGCTGGCTGCCGTCCTTCCTATTCCTATGATCACAGTTAATGTTTCTGGACAATAAGCATCACTGATATAAACTGAAATCACTTTAGAGGAGAGAAAATAGCAACAACAAGAAAATACAGCTTTGTCTATAATCATCTCTCCTAAACAATATAGGCATTTTAGGGTTTCCATCAATTTTTAATCTCCCAATTAGGGAAGACAATATAAATTTTGGTATTTCCTAAGTAGTTTATCTCCTCTCTTTAAAATTTAAAGCTGACTTCAACTAAAACTTCCTCACTGCTTCTCATTTATTTCAAGGCTTGATAGAAAAACATGATAATTTGTAAAACTTAAAACTATGCTGGGAGGCTGAGACAAAGGAAAAGATGCCATGGATAACTGTGGCAGATTACAAGGCTTTCAGGACACCCTAAGATTGGCATTTTTCATGAGGGAAAAACATGCTCATGGATAGCTGTTAAATTTCTCACAGTCTATGAGAACAACGACTTCCCTTTTGAGAAGTAGTTATGTGTTATAAATATTTATCATTTGTTTTCAAAAAATGAAGAAAGTAAGTTCAGTGTTCTGGCCTAAATGTTTTCATAATTGCAGGTTCATGGCAGAAATGTCAAAACTAATAGATAGCTTTTTAAATATGGTAGAGCCCTTCTGAGGATGAAAAGGCTATGCTAAATACATTGAAGCTAAACATGAAACCCAATGATATAATGACCATTGTGAACTTCATTCATTTCTTCTGAAGTAAGTTTGAAAAGCAAGCAATAAACAAATGGCTATTTAATTTAAAGAACTGCTAAGTAGTAAATAATATAAAAATATAGCTTGTTATACCTTGTTACGTATGTATTTTTAAATAAAAACAATTCATTGAGATAGAATTTTTGAGCATTGTAAATTATTGCAAACTGCTTGTATCTTTTCTTAGAGCATTCATAGCTTTAAATATATCTGACAGTTGGATGATTTACTTAAATTGTGTTCCTACTAAGTTAAATTTTAAGCCAATATTTTTAAACCCCTTCAGTGTCACAAGTTTTGAAAATACAAAAGTGGGAAACATTTTTCATAACAAACCTTAACATATCAAATCTCTTCAAAATTTTCTCTTGATGCCCCTTCATTCATAAACACACATACATACTTATTTCCTTTACATGGTCACCCTAAAAAGTCAATTACAAAATTAAATAAATTTAATAGTAGGCTAAAAACTAGTAATGAATTTATTTTTGAAAGATATCAGTTCTCCCATTTCCTAACCTATTGTTAGTGTTAGGGTTGAGGGTGCTGTCCATCTTTGGTTTTTAAGATAACATTCTGGACCCTCTATGAATTTCTACAAGCTCTCTATAAATACATATCTAGCCCTCACTCTGCCCCAGCATCATTCTTGTCCTTGTCACTCTGGGACACTTGAGTGACACTGTCCTCAGCACTTCCTTCCACCACTGGATGTCCTTTTCGACAGTTGCTCCAGTTGTCTGTATGGTTCTCTGTCTCAAGCTTTAGCCTAGAACTTTCCACCAGATGTTTCTGAGGCCCTCAGTCTCTGAGTATCAAAAACAAGGCCTCAAATATTCCTCGACCTTTGTGTTTCACTCCTCTTCTAACATCTTGTAACAGTAGTGCCCAACCATTCTCCTCAGTTCAAGCAGTCATCTTTGGTCAACATGATTTAGATTGTGATGCTGCCCTGTGTAGAGACCATGGATAGATTTGCATGGCATTTAGAATAGACCCCCAATTCCTTCCTGTGGCCGACCCCATCCCTCTGCTTAGATTGCGTTCTACTCTAATCCTATCTCCTATACCTCTTGCCTACCTTACCATCCTCACCACACTTGGCATCTTCTGTTTCTAAAAACAATGATTTTTTTTTAAAAAAAATAAAATGGATAATGGAAAAGTAACCAATTTCCTATATAAGTACATATATTAAAATTCTGACTATCTAAAAACAAATATTTAAAAATATGTGGAAACAGCTGCAGAGACCCACAGTCAAGCATTAGGCTGAGCTTGGAGACTTCTGCTGAAGAGAGGGAGGAAGGATTATAGGAGCCAGAAGAGTCAAGAACATCAAAAGAAAACCCATAGAATAGATAACCTGGGCTCATAGGAGCTCATAGAGACTGAACAGACAACCAGGGAGTCTACATGGGACTGATCTAGGTCTTCTACTTATATGTTACAGTTGTATAACTTGGTCTTCTTGTGGGACTCCTAACAGAGGGAGCAGGGACTCTCTTTTACTCTTTTACTGGCTTTTGGGACCATACTCCTCAAACTGGATCACCTTGCCTAGCTTTATTTAAAGCGAGGTGCTTAGTCTTAGTATAACTTGATATGCCATGTTTTGTCTGGATAGAAATGGAGAAGTAGGGGAGCCAGGGAGGCAAAGGGAGATGAGGAGAGGGGGGACTGGGAGAGGGAAGGGGAAACTGTGGTCACGATGGAAAATAAACAAATAAATAAACAATTCTTTAAGAAAATAGATTATATGGTGGGGAAATGGCGCATGAGATGATCCAGAAAAGATAGGACTGGAGCGGGCCCCCAGAACCTACATAAAGGACAGGTGGACATGGCAACTGACTAGAATTCCAGTACTCTGAAGGCAAGTCCTGGGAATCTCTGCAGCAAGCTGGCTAGCCAGAATAGCCATATCGTCAGTCTCTGGGCTCAAGTGAGAGACCCTGCCTTGATGAATGAGGAGGAGAACAAGTGAGATAGACTCCCAACATCAGCCTCGGACATCTATGTGCACACACATGCACATATACACACATGTGTATGAGAACATACACATCTACACAAGACACACACACAGAGTCATAGAAACAGCTACTACATAAACTTACTATAAATTACGTATTAAAATAAACTTTGACTAATTGCAAACAAAAAAGGAAATTGGTAGTGACCTCCAAAATCACACAACTTGCCTAGCGAGTGTGCTACTCAACCTGATTGTAAAGATAGAATTTATCAAAATATTTTCCTTAACGTTACAGTTACAGATGGTGCTTTAAAACACTACAAGTAGAAAGAATTAACAAATGAGATATTCTTGGAGTGGTTTTATGGTGTGAAAGGGGAAAAACTCAAGGAAAGTCTTTCTAAATTCTACTCTGCATTTTCAGGTATTCTGTGGACAGACATACAGATATGGACAGGATATTCAACATTGATTCTGGAAATGGTTCAATTTTTACATCGAAACTTCTCGACCGGGAAACACTGCTGTGGCACAACATTACTGTGATAGCAACAGAGATTAGTAAGTCCAACCTTACCAATGCTGTCCCCAGTGATGGAATGAGGTCCTGGTGAGAGCTTGGGCAAGCATGGCCAAAGCTATTTACCTCATATTGACAACCCTGCTCTATACAAGTTGAGGGAAAGAGCACTGGGGAGAGACCTAAATGATATTACTTCTAAATGTGTGTTGGTTCATTTTAATTGGAGAAAAAAACTGTGCAAGTTCTGCAATTTAGAGATAATAGAATAAGAATACATCTCTCATGGATGGGGAGATGACCCAGCAGGAAATGAACTTGCTAGGCAAGTGTGAGGACTGGAGTTTGGATCCCCAAGGTCCACATAAAAGTTGGGTGGATAGAGCGCTGCCTGCAATTCCAGCATTCAGGAGGCAGAGATATGGGATCTCCAGGGCAAGTTGGCTATCTGGACTAGGAAAGTACTCAGCAAGAAAACCTGACTCATTCGGTAAGGTGGTTGTGATTGAGGAAGGCGCCCACCATAAAGTTGGGACCTACACACACACACACACACACTTTTCAAAAAAAATGAAAGGATATATCTTTCAAGTGAAATAGGATAGGCACATAGTAGATATGACTCTCCATAGGTTATAAATTTTTTTTAAAAATCACAAAACAGCTGAAAAAATGGACTCTCAAACAGGAAGCAAGGGAATAGGAGGGTTATATATCTTCAGCATGAAAGCATTGGCCAACACCTCTTAGATACTCATTCTCACCCTCTACCAAATTTCTATTTCAAAATCTTTACCAAATTAAGAGTTACAAACTATCACTCTCCTATAGTCTATCAAATTGAACAATATGAAGCACCAAATAATCAATAAAATATTTAGAATGAATTTTATACAATGCCCCATAAAGTAAAAAGAAAAATAGTGGCAAAAAAAACCCATTTCAAATGAAATTGTTTTACTCAATGGAAATTAATGTAAACTGTGAGCAGTGTTAGACAGGAGCGCATTAAAAAATAAAAGGATAATCTTTAAAATAATATTTTAGTGTTTAAAATAGGCTTCTGAAGTTTAGTTCTTTTCATTTTGTTTTTAATTTCTGAAGTTCTAAACACTTTTATCTCTGTTGGATATCTGCTGTGAAATATTCCATATCAAATGGTTTATTACAGTTCCATTTTGTCAACATAACTCATGAGATGTGACAACGGTGAAGGAGAGTGGATGGAATAACAAACAGCCAGTGTGGGCAAAGGAGGCCATGGCACTGATAGTGATCTGAACACCTAATTAGACATTCATTAGATAGGAATTTGGCTCCCAGAATTTGTGCCAAGGGACTGGCATGGATACTAACAACAGTAAACTTAAAAGCGTTAAAATTACAAAATGATTTTCCACTGAAAAAAGACCATTTTTCAAAACATAAAACTAAAGTAGTCATTTTATGCATTATTTTAGGTTTATGCCTAAAGTTTTCTGCTTTTAGGATTTAATGTTTAGCTAATATATTTGGAAATATGGGTGATTGAGACGTATCACAATTTATGCACAACCACTTTCACGTTGGGAGGATAGTATGAGGGAAAAATGCATGTTAGAGATGTTAAGAATACGATTGTCAGGACTTGTTTACCACCTTCAACAGCTCAAAATATGGGAGCTTATGTAAAATCATCTCTGTCTTATCCCAAGGCCTTTCTACTTGCCCTTTTATTTCCTAGGAATCCAGAAATGCTCACATGGCTTACTCCTTCTCTTCAGTCCCACCTGAACAAACGGTGCCCCTGAGAAGGCACACCTGCTTATCCCATTTAACAGAACAACTCCATGTCTCTATCCCTTTCCTCTGCTTAATTTCGCCAACTGGTGCATTACATGTTCATATGTTTCATGTGCTTATCTCTACATTAGGATAAACACCTAACATTCACTGTTTTTATTAAGCTCCCTATCTGTCCCAGACCATATCAGGTGTCTGATGTCCAGTAAGGTTTTATTAAATGAACACTCAAATAGACATATAGGTTAAGTGGATGAGAGAAAGAAAACATGAGCTATCAGCTCCTGGCCCTGGTACCAGAAGTCTCTCCTCCAGCTATCCATGGGATTAGCTGGACAAATGAGAATGGAAGAGTGGGTGGCTCTTGTCTAAAGGGAAATGGTGATCAACGTGTAATGCTTATTTCTTTCTTTTTGATATGTGTCAGACAATCCAAAGCAAAGCAGCCGAGTGCCTCTCTATATTAAAGTTCTTGACGTCAATGACAATGCCCCAGAATTCGCCGAGTTCTATGAGACCTTTGTCTGTGAAAAAGCAAAGGCAGACCAGGTGAGTTGTATGTTAAAAAGCACCTTCAAATAGGAAGTCGGGTTAATTTAGATCTAATAATTGAGGTGATACATGCAGCAGAGGTGCTTGTCTTGAATTATCTATGAAGTGGGCGCCAAGGAGATTAATGCCATAAATAATAACCAAGACGAATGTTTAACTTGCATAAGAGAACAAATAGTTCTTAAGAACTGGAAATTCATCAGTCTCCAAGACTGATGTGGATTCCAAATCAGTTTTAAGTTTTCATTAAAATAGATTAGTCACACTGTTGCTGAAATAAAATCTCTATTGGTGAACAGATAGCTTAATTTGCATATGTACTTGAAAATAATAACTAGAACATATTATCCAATTGCCTATAATTCACAGTTTTACTTATTTACATTGCCCATCTGTAAAGTAATACAAATTCATGAGTGTTTCACTGTTTTACTCATTTGTCATCCACCTGGAATAGGTCTTTGCTGCCTGTGACAGAGAAATTATGCTACACTTTGTCAAAACAGAAGTGCCTGTGAAAGTACAGGGGAAGGTGGGAAGCTGGAGTTACTGCCTTTTTTACATTAATTTTCTTTTTGAGTTTTTTCCCAAGTTGCCAACCTATGAGAAGAAGAAGATAGTGTATTTACATAGGCTGCCTAGAGTGCTTCTGTACTGTTAAGTGGCAATGCTGTTAATGATCATTGTTATGGGCAGTTTTTCCCAGCCTGATTCCACAGCCGCCTTGCCCCAGATGAACACTCAAGATTTATATTAATTATAAAATTGTTGGCTGTTGGCTTGGCTAGCTCCGTCTTACTTATTAGCCCATAACTATTAATCTATGTATTTCTATGTGAATTCTTACCAGAGAATGGCTGACGTGCATCCTCTCTTCCAGGGCTCACATGGTGACTTCTCTCTACTTACACTTCCCAGAATTTTCCTCCTCTGGTAGCCCCACCTATCCTTCCGGCCTGGCCACTAGCCACACAGTGCTTTATCCATCAACAAATAAGAGAAACATGTACACAGAAGGACAACCCCATCAGATCACTGAGACATTTTTAGTTTTGTATTACTCTTATGCAGTGCTTCTCAACCAGGGTGACTTTGCTCCCTAGGGATATCTGACAATGTCTGGAGACCATTCAGATTGTCACAGCTTAGGAAGGGGCTTCTGGTATTTAGTGGAGTGAAATCAGGGTGAAGACCACATAGTTTTCAGAGTAGCAAAGAAGTAGCCCTGGCTCCATGGGTTTCTAACATATCAGTTCTTTGAATAGAATGCACTGGTTGCTTTTTAAGGGCTATCATTTTAATTATGTTAATAAAATTAAAGTAAGAAAATACTTTGGGATCATGAAACCTTTGTGATAACCTTATGGTTTCTCTTTCAGCTGATTCAGACCCTACATGCTGTTGACAAGGATGACCCTTACAGTGGACACCAATTCTCCTTCTCTTTGGCCCCTGAAGCAGCCAGTGGTTCAAACTTTACTGTACAAGACAACAAAGGTAAGTGAGCTTCTTGTCTTCCCTCTCTCCACATCCCTATGGGATTGTATCTCAATCTCCATCCATACCCATTGATTTCCATCACAACCTATTCAACGCATGACGTATTCGGCACACATTAACCACTTTGCTTTCTTCTTCCAGACAACACCGCAGGAATCCTAACTCGGAAAAATGGCTATAACAGACACGAGATGAGCACCTATCTCCTGCCTGTGGTCATTTCAGACAACGACTACCCAGTCCAAAGCAGCACTGGGACAGTGACTATCCGGGTCTGTGCATGTGACCACCATGGGAACATGCAGTCCTGCCACGCCGAGGCCCTCATCCACCCCACAGGGCTGAGCACAGGGGCTCTGGTGGCCATCCTTCTGTGCATCGTGATCCTACTAGGTAAACTGCTTCTCCCTGCATCCTATCTCCCCTTGGTGAGGGGCACACACTGTTACTGTGACACTCTAGATTTTTCCGCCTCCCCCATTAAGGCATACAGCCTGATCTAGGTGAGTAGAGTTATATGCTGAGAATCTGTGTTGTTCAAACATGAACTAGTTTTTGCTTTGGAGAATGAACAGATGTAATATGTGCCCATATCTTTGCTTGCTCAGGGTACCATTTTACCATTAGAATATATTGTATATCATACTGAAATGCATCTCAGGGGAGATTAGAAATGAAGATATGTATATACCCCCTGTTTGTTCTGTGTGTTGTCTGATAATTAACTTGGCAAACATTGGTAAATTTTCAAGGGTGCAAATTATGCACCATGGAGTGTCTGATGAAGACACATTTTACAAAGGTAACATTTGAGATCAACAGAAAATTGGAAAAGGATGATGGTGGCTTTTTCTATCTCACCCAGGGTGGGGAAATAAAAGTCTAACAATCTCTTTAATGAAACAAACTTACTATGAGCTACACAATGGAGTGACTACCGGCTTAGTGCTGCTTTCTGGTTTCCACATACACAATGTCTATAATTTTCAGACTGTTAATAAAGTAACTCCTGACATTAGGAAGTGAACTCTGGATCCCAAAGAAATGAATGTAATAAAAGTGAAACACAAGATCTGTGATGGCTTGGATGTGGCGTCTTCTCCACAACAGCTCATGTGTCACAGGTGTTGTCCTCGGTTAGTGGTGCAACTGAGAGGGAATTGGATCAAGAATTGCTAACTTCATCAAATGACCAAAGCACTGATGTGTTCATAGTTGAATGGGCTGCTATGATCTGGGGCCCAATGGAAGGAATTATGTCACCTGACATAATTTTGAAGGATACATCTTGTCCCTGAATCCATCCTGTCTCTTGTCCACCATGAGTTGAGCTGTTTTGTTCCAACACATGTTCCTGCCACCATGACACTTTAACTCATCACAAACCCAAAAGCAGTAGATCCAAGTGACTGTGCCCTCTGAATCCATAAGCCAAGATTTATTTTGCCCCTATTAAGTTGTTTCTCCCAAAAATTTTCTCAAAGAAACAGAAACCAACACAAGGTCTCGAAATAATTCAAATGATTTTTTTTCCTTCCAACCAACTAGTTAAGCCAAAAAACCTGAGTCTGAAAGTCTTTAACTATTATGCAAGTAAAAAAATTCAATATCAGCTAATGTAGCCATTCCACAAATGAAAACAAGGGGCTGGAGAGATGGCTCAGCACTGGCTGGTTTATCCCCAGTACCACATGCTCTCACAACCGTCTTTAACTCCAGCTCCAAGGGATCCAATACCATCTTCTGGCTTCCAAGGCATACATGTGGTATGCAGGCATACATGGAGACAAAACACCCATGGACATAAAATAAAAATAAAGTTCTTAAAAATAAAACAACATTTGTATTTACAATCTTGCCTATATAATTTTTTAAAAAAAGGTTCAACACATGCCTGTAATCACAGAACTGTAAAGGTGGAAAACTAAGAATCAGAAATTCAAGGCCATCTTTAAATACTAAATGCTAAGTTTGTGCCAGCCTGGGATACACAAGCTCCTTTCTAGAAAGGAAACAAGAAAGCATCTACCTAGATTAAACAAGAGGAAAACCTCTACTAATAAAGAAGCCTGAATAACAACAGAGAAGCATAGAAAAGGGCCTGCATCTCTACAAGAAAGACCTTTCTCGCTGCTGATCAGTGTTACCAATAATTATCAGAAGACTGGAAACCCAACTTCAGAACCATGATCATCTTCTCAAGGGAAAGTTAAACAAAGTATTTTGAGACCAGAAGGTATACCGCAATGGCAGTGTACAAAGGCATATCAGCATCCCTAATGCTGTGCATCGGTAAAACCTGGAGGACTTGATCATTCATTGTTCAGATGACCTTGGGGGAAGGAGGGAGGGGTTATACCTGTGGAAGGAGAGGTAGCACTTACCTGCCATCCCTTCTCCTTCCTCTCTCTAGTCATCTGTCCTGCTTTTTTACATTTTTAATTTTTTAAGGTTACCATACAAAGCAATGTGTTTCCTCATGATCTCTTCATATACTTGTGTGCTCATACTTGGTTCTGAGTCTCTCCCTTCCCTGGTACTATATATACCCTTTCCCCAGATGGTTCCCTTGTGCTTTCTTTCATACATTCAATTACCTACCTCCTCCCTCTCATTAGACCCTTTCTACTTTTGTAAACTGCACTCCCACACATATATATGTGTGTATATATATGTATATATATACATTAATCTTGATCCTTTAATGTAGAAGAAAATATAGAATTCATTCTGAGTTTGACTTATTTCACATAATGATTTCCGGTTCCATCAATTTTCCCGCAAATGCCATGATTTCATTTTTGTTTGTGGCTATATAAAATCCCATTGTGTATATGCATCACGTTTTCTTTATTCATCTATTTAGACATCTAGGCTGGCTCCCTTTCCTGGAAATTGTGTATAGAGCAGCAATAACCGTGGATGTGCGAGCATCTCTATGGCACGTTGACTTAGAGACCTTCAGGCATCAACCCATTTTCTCTTCTCTACTTTCTTCCTTTTAACTAACTCAGTTATCTTCCCCTTTCACTTTTTCCCAGCAATAAATTCACTGTCTCTTCATTATTCTTAATTGGCTTCAGTGCCTCCCACACCTTGTCTAGTGTTTGGGGAATTCTGTATATAATTTTTTCTAAGAAAAAAGAATGAGCTTTGTCTTAACTAGGTTCACACCATAGACTAGATGCTGTGTGAGGTGCTTCATGGGTGTTTTTCTTGCTCCTCAGAACTACCTGGGGGGCATTTATCTGTATCTTGAGTATGAAACCTGAGGCAGCAGGCTATGAAGTAAGTCACGTGGTCAAGTCACACAAAGCAGGTGGTCAGAGCTCAGCCCTACACGCAGGTCTTTCATTCCATGATGTGATGCTCCCAGCCCATACCTAGATTCTCTGCAAGCTTCTGGGATGCAGTGAAATTTCCAGGCTGAAAAAGACATCGAACTTAAACTGGGACCACTGGAGAGATTAGGCAAACCTGAGAAGCAAACCTGAAAGGAAGCTACACTAATACATGAGGAAATCTGGTACAAAAGTAGGCCTGGCCTAGGGGTGTACTTTGGGGATAGGGCACTTGTCCACCATACAGAAGTCCCTGGGTGAATCCCAAGGCATCTAGTATTTTACTGAAAGAAAATAGTAAAAGAATTTTAAAAGGTTGGGGGTGTCTATGGGGGAGCTGGAAGGGGAGGGGTTAGATTGGGGTTGATCTAACACATTAGATCCATGTATGAATATTAAATGAAATGCTTTAAGCATCCCAACCACAGCTACATCTCATCTAGATAGCAATTTGGAGTTTTGCAAATTTCTCACATTTGACTCATTCCTTGTGACAGCACCTGGCATTGTATTACTGCTTCCCTTTTACAGGGGTCAAATCATTAGGCCTGCTAGTTTTATAATGGGATTGGAGCCTGAATTTGACCATACCCTCCCCTGCCTCTCCCACCCCTAAAATATTGCTGCTGTCCTCTGGCCCCAGGAGGGTGGGGGAAGAAGAGACTAGTCCCCATAAAGGGACTTACAGATAAGCTGAACTGTTCTAAATGCTTCTGCCCCAGCCCAGTCCCCACTTATAAAAATCGGTTTTCATCAAGGCCTCCCATCATGGTATCAGACGTACATTGGGCTGATAAAAGACATAGGCAGCCTTCGCCATAGAATTAAACCATGAATAAGTACTGAGCACCTTTGACTTTTGGTTTTGCCCTCTCACTTCTCACTTGTAAAGGCTATAATTTCAGGTGAACATAGGTAGGACTGAAATTTAGAAATCTCAGTACTTGAATCTGGAGAGTTAGGGAGTAACAAATGCTTCCTGTCTCACCTTTAGTGACTGAAAGATTACATGTACATTAGAGTTGGATGCTTTAAGGGCAAAGGGCTGGGGTCTATCCTCTAATCCCTAATGTTACTCTTACTTGCATTGCTGTTTTCCAAATCCATGCCATTTCACACTGGAAAGCAGCATAAAAGGAGATTATCCCTAGTCCCTGAAGGTCTCCATCCTCAACCCCACCCACCAATATGGAAGGGAAAGCTTCCCAAAGCCACCAAACGCCTGGGGACATAGCTCTTCCCTACTTCTCTCCTCCATTCTCCTGAGACTCTTGCTTGTTCCTTAAATACTACAGGCTCAGACCTCCCTGGGGGCTTTCCTATAGCTGTTTCCCCTTTGCCAGAAAGCACCTTGAATAGCCCCCTGAAATGACGCAGAAGAGCACAGTCCAACAGAGAAACCTCCCCATCCTCCTTGGCCTCCTCTGCTTTTTCTTGTTTTGCATTGCACTTACCATCCTCTAATAATTTCCTGACTTGTTATACATGTTGTTTATTTTCTGTCTCCATCCAACAGTCCCCACACATCTGCCCAGGCTCCAAGGCAGGGCTTTTGATCCACATGTTATACTGGTAGTGCCTAGAACTGTACCTGGTACAAAGCAGACACCACATAACTATTTGTTGAAAGAATGAATGGATACCCTGGGTGGATGAGACAATGGAGGCATCGGGACACTCTCTGACAAGAACAGAGAGTGTAGACAGTTAACACAGCCACATCCTTGAGAATGGCAAAATTGTATTTCCTTAGGGAAGAGACAGTCATCCCGATATGCTTCCAGCATGGCAGGTAAGAGTGTAACCTTTTTAGTCTGGTGGACCTGGATTTGAATGCCTGCTGCATGTGACATCTCTAACCTTCAAGTTCTTCTTTGGTAAACTGGGGTTTTCAGTATGGTTGCTACTTCATAGGACTATTATGATGATGAAGTGGGACTGAGTATGAAATGCACTTACCACAGTAATTGGTACATAGAAATCTCTCTCTAGGAAGCCACGTACTAATACAAGTAATGTCTGAAAGGATAACATAGAGACCCACGAGAATGCAAATATATTCATTAGAAGGGAGATACAATCGCCTCCTCAATCTCATCGCAAGATTTCAGTTTTCATGGCTTAACAAAAACTGGACCATGTAATAGGTGACGTGGCAGAGACGCTGCTAGAACTTCCTGTAGTAAACATCACTGGACAAGCATGGGCTGGTGATGTGTTGTCTGCTGGACGGCTGTTGCCTCTGTAAGCTGTTGCTATGCTTTCATTTTCCACACATAGGTCCATTTGTAGGTAGATGTGTCTCTCTACAGGCAGTCAGCTTTGTTCTACCAACCAGCTGTGAAGAAAGATCAGAAGCGACTTAAACACAATTCTTGCTTTGCCTCTAATTAGAGCTAGAGAATAAACAATAATATATCTGTAAAACAAGCGTTCTGACCCATGAACTTGTGGGATGTAGGTCTTTGAAAGTGAAATCTCATATAAATATGTTTAACTCAAACACAAATCGTATGGAAAGTGTATTACTATTTAATTGGTTGAGCTTGGGGCCCAGAGTAGCTTTTGGAATCTGGGTCTCTCGGAGATTTTATCTGTACTAATATTTCTTTGTATGTGGGAAGGTATGCAAATGTTCACATCTCTGCTTGGGATTTTGAACTAATTTTACACTTTTCTCCGGTGGGGGGAAGAGGAAGCCATAGCGCAATAGTTATTTTAAATGTGGAGTTATGCAAAGCCTTCAACACTTCCCAGAGGTGCCAGCCTTTTCCTTATAACCAGTTTTGGAGCATTTTAGGTGCTTGGCATAATTTGCACTTTTATTGCAGTACTTTCTGTGCTGCTCAAAAAAATTTATTATTGTTGTTGTTATTATTATTATTACTACTACCACTACTTTTCCTACCTTGAAAGTATTGCATTTTCAGAGGGGGGGAAATAGAACAAGCACTGACAAAATAGGATGGTGTTTTATCATCTGATTGAAGCAGAGCCTTCTTTAAAATACTCCATTCTGGGGTCCTTGTCTGATAAGAGATAGAGACAAACGCATCCTTAAGACTGGAAAAAGTTGAGCCTACATTTTCAAGTGACATTTTAAAGCAGCAGGTTGGAGCAGTGTTTCTTCCCCATGTTAATTGGATGGCAAATTAACTTTCCTTCCCTTCTGTTTTGTTCTCTGCTTCTAGTGACAGTGGTGCTGTTCGCAGCTCTGAGGCGGCAGCGCAAAAAAGAGCCTTTGATCATTTCCAAAGAGGACATCAGAGATAACATTGTCAGTTACAACGACGAAGGTGGCGGAGAGGAGGACACCCAGGCCTTTGATATCGGAACCCTAAGGAATCCCGAAGCCATGGAGGACAGCAAATCGCGCAGGGACATTGTGCCTGAGGCTCTTTTTCTACCGCGACGGACTCCCACAGCTCGTGACAACACCGATGTCAGAGATTTCATTAACCAAAGGTTAAAGGAAAATGACACAGACCCCACAGCCCCACCCTACGACTCCTTGGCCACCTACGCCTATGAAGGCACCGGTTCAGTGGCCGACTCGCTGAGCTCCCTGGAGTCAGTGACCACAGATGGGGATCAAGATTATGACTATTTGAGTGACTGGGGCCCTCGGTTCAAAAAGCTAGCGGATATGTATGGAGGGATGGACAGTGACAAAGACTCCTAATCTGTTGCCTTTTTCATTTTCCAATTATGGCACTGGAATATGTGAAGTGGCTATTTCTTTCTATTTATCCACTATTCCGTGAAGGGTTCTCTGTTGTACCCGTTCCAAAAGTCAATGGCAGCAGTCCGTGCAGATCCAATGTTAGAGACTCTTTTCTAGTACACTTTTATGAGCTTCCAAGAGGCAAATTTTTATTTTTTAGTTCGTGCAGTTAATCAACTTAGCCCAGCAGGCACATGGGGGAGGAGAGGAGGGAAACAGAGTTTTCTTGTTCTCCTAGGGTAGGGTGGCCACATACTCCTTACTGTTGGCCTGAACCACTACTTTGCCTCAGGTCAGCTAACTGCTCCAACTGTACATGTCACATACTAATGGGAGAAGGGATCATACTCTAATGATAAAATAGAATTTTAGTATAAAAGAAAAATGCAAAAGGGGGGGCGAATTGGGAAATTGTTCTTGGTCCATCAGCTCTCGAGGAGATAATTAGCTACGGAAGGGTTTATAAGAGTGTATGCATGTCAAAGAATTTAAAGTGGCAGGTAGGGTATCCTATCTCTGCTGCAAGAGGTGTTTCCGGCACCAACAAGTACTCATAGCAGCAAATCCTTCCGTGTTGTAAAGTGATGTAGAAGCAAATGATGTGGTGACATATAAAGACAGTATCAAAAAGCAAGGCTGCATTCCTTGACACTCGTTGAGATCTGTTGCATGTGAGAAACAGGAAAGATCACCATCACACCAAACGAAGGGAACAAGAGAAACAGCTAAAAAAAAATGGTAACAAAGGAAATATTCAGCAAACTTCAAAGTTGTGTGCCACCAACTGCATCACAGATTCCTTAATTCTTTCAACTGTCAGTAATCTAATGAGAAATAAGTCTAATCATATAAAAGTTCTTGAGAGAATTTTCTGGGGCAAATGTTAACTCTTCGTCTGTAGTCATTGTCACTATTATCCTACTATACCTGAGAGTAGTGGTGTGAAGTACAATAATTCATATTCTTCAAATACTTCTTATATAATTAACTTGACTTAGTAAGGTTAGATTAAATATCCTACCCAAGAGTTCAAGGGGAAGGCTAGACCCAGTCACATTTAAACCTAATCCCTGCCCTTTGCCCTTGGAGACATTCACATACTTACACTGCAACAAGGGGATAAGTGAATGACACTGAGATGTTGGTGAAAGCCTGCATCCCATGTTTCTGAAATGCTCACAAAAGACTCTTGTTAAAGTGACAGTTGATTTCCAAAAGTAGTCTTATTTCCCCACTGTTTTTAAACTGGCTCCTGTGGCAAAACTGCCATCTTTATCTTTGAACTGATGATGAAGTAATGGTCTCAACTAAGACAGAAAAGTAATATAAAATCCATCCAATCTATTATTGTTGTAATTATGCAATTAGGCTCTCTTACAGTTATTATCCAGGGGACCCAACTGGACCAAGCTAATCCTTCTGGCAGGTTCAAATCATTTATTTCATATGGACGTTCTAATGACTCTCATCATCAGGATCTCATATTGTGCAGTCATCAGAAATTTCCAAAGTACTGTAATGATAACATCCTCATTTGAAAACTTTTTTAAAAGGCTCTGTATATACATATATAATATATACTTAAGAATGTGCTGACTTCTCTTATTAGTCATAGGGATTTATTTTCAGTTAATGTTAATTTTATAGAGATAATCTTAGCATCACTTCCATTTAAGGGTAATGTTTTATCAACACATTTTCTATTTAGAAACACACTGTTGTTTAGTTGGCTTTTAAATAGTTTTTACCCAGGAAGTAGAGGTGGCACCTGTTAAAACAAGAGAAATGTGGAATTTGGATTATGGTTTTTAAAAAAAATACAACAATATTGCCCTTTGTACTTCCTAAATGGCTTCCTGTTTCTGATGAGATGCCCTGAAGAGTAAGGAGTATTTCATGCTTGGGCTATTTCCCTATTTTAGGGTTTTTTTAAATACTTCATATGCACACTGACAAACACACACACATACACACACACACACACACACAGAGGAATGCAAACAAATGCTACAAGATGGCTTCACTGAAATGGGTCAGTACATATTGTATTCACAGGTAAGTACTGAAAACAGATAGCCAAGCAAAACTAATAAGAGCTACTAGATATAGCATGAGAACAGCACCTTGCACAATTTATTGTAAAATTAGAGTACCCTATTTTGTACCTTACATCATGTGACAAACTGAATCAAGAAACAGTTCTTAAAAAGAAAAGTATCATCAAAAGTTGCCCTGTTGAGCTTTTGGTGTGAAATTTTGTGTTAAATTTCTAAGAGTTGACAATAACAATTTCCAACATTTGGGGATAAAGCTGACCTCTCCCTCTTAGTGCAAGTATATACTAAAAGGAAGCTGAGATATTTGAGATGTAATTTGCCAAAACATTTTTGTGTCTGCCTGAAAATCACACATTGTACCAAGAATAGATGAGTACGACTTAATATTGAAATAGCTGTTTAATGTCTTATCACAATGATTGTTGGTGAGGCAAATCTACAAGAAACTGGATTATTTGAGCCCTGTAGGTGTCAATTTCAGACAAACACTTTCCCCTAAGAAGCATCATGCAAAGAAAGAGAAGCCCAGTGTAGTTTTTCTTCCCAGAAAAATACCAGGTCAAGAACATCCCCATGGACAGATTTCCTTTGGTGGTAAGTCCTAGGCCAACATGAAATTTTCTCCCTCTCTGGAGGGAGAAACTAATTTTCAGCTCAGCTTTCATATTATTTGTGTCTTGGACTTAGACACAGGCAACGAGGATGGCAGGAGAGTGGGAAGGGTCCAACTTTAACATTTGCTTTGTTGAACATAAGTAGGTTGGTGGCATAAAGGGTTGTTTCAAGAGCACTAATGCCTGTCTAACTTTTTCTTAACCTCTTTTCAACAGAAAGTTTCTTCAAACCTCTTCTGATGCTTCCTAGAATAAGCTGGGTTTTAAAGAACATTAAGCCATTGTATGTGAGGTTAAAACTCCCTCACTTTATATCCACTTTCTTCAGGAAATCTGAAAACATTTTTCCTCAAATAAGTAAATAACTCAAATGGGAAAGAGGCAAGAACAGTCTCCTAAGACTGTAAGAGAGGAAATCTGGGCACTGTAAATACAACTTCCCAAGTTTTACATTCTGGAGGTTTAGCTAGAGAAACGCTCTATTTTCAGATGGAACAAAGCTGGTGATTTCATTTTAATTCAGGATAAAAATATGTGGCTTAGTTCTCATTTCCACTTTGTAAACTGTTATACAAGAAACTGACTCTGAAGCTTAGAGGCATCCAAGTTTTGAGAAGTCAAAATAACTTCCTAATGTTTCCATTATGTAATCTGTGTACTGTGTGTTGCTGAACAATTTTCTACATAGAATGCTTTATCCTGAAGCAGGTGTTTTCTGGAGGAGAGTGACTTATAAAATACCAATGGGTCATTCTTAGATTCTGTAGACCTGTGCACATTAGAAATATACATCTAAAAGGAAAAAGAAGCGTTGATTCCTGGGTGCAAGCTAAATATTTGAATGATTGTCCATATCAAACAAATCCCTTGTCCTCAGGAATATGGCCACCAAACAGATCCTCTCAGCCTCTGGTTTCTAGATTTGAAGCAGCATAAGTACTTTGGAAGAACACACTAAGAAGTCAAAATCTGCTATTTTGGAGGACATCCTCTATTCAGAACAAATCATTTTAGTGCGATTTTAATTTTTTACTTTACCTAGATGAAATCATTTTTGGGTTATCATATTGTAGAAGTGGGCTCAAGATACAGGCAGTTCACTCTATTTTAATTAACAATTCACCCAACCTTCTTTATCAGATAAGAGCAGAAAGATGAATAGTTGGTGTGTGGGTCTCCAGGAAGATGGGCTGCATCCTAAGCTTTGACAAGCATGTTTCTTTTCCAGAGAATGGATTGCGCAGTGGTCTCGTTAGAGTTCATAGGCGATCATGGTTGCAGCATTTTAAATCTTCCTTTGACATCTTCATGGAATAATTTTCAAAGGGGATAATTCTCTACTAAAAATACCAAACCCTGACTATATTCAATGCCAAGAGCAATACCCTCTTAGAAAGCAAATACATTGGCTCAAACACTTGCTTAAAGTTAATAAAGAAATAGCTCATTTTAAAAACAAGGACTTTATGGTCTCTGCATCATCGATTTAATTTAAGCATTGCTGAGACAATCTTTAATCTCCCTACTTTTTAATACCTTATTTATGATGCATTCTCGTTTTTAATTTGGGGGGAATGTTAGCCTGACAGAGTCAGCAGACGAAAGCGTTAAAGGACATCAAATGGAAACAAAGGCTATTAACCACCGTATTTCAGACAGGACTGAGGCACTTAGCCAAGCAACACCAGGTTATTAGATTAATTTCAAAAGACCTTTTCCAAGTTGCTGATTTCCACTGGGGGGAAAGAATCATGAACCACAAACCCAAATCTCCTTTCAAATGAAGTTATTTGACAAATGAGGCATGGACTCGGTGTTGTAGAAAAAGCATCCTGCCGTAATGAGGCTATGCTATTTATGTAAATATATCTGAGGCACCTTCTGTAACTTTTAGTTTTTCTATGATCTATTAGTTTAGTGTTTATTAAAGAATAAATTACCCATATGTAGGATCACTCAGCACTCACGGGGAATGCTTATGCAGCAAATGTCTAATAGATCTGCTCAGAAGAACACAGGAATACTGCAAACCCTCTGTGCTGTTCTGTTTGCCATTATTTTCACTGCTTTGAAAGGAAGCTGCCTCAGAATAGGCCTTGTAATAAACGCTGTGTGTGTCTTCCGTAATACCAAGCTGAGGTGGTTTGGCATCCTCCTACTGTGACCTGTGATTCCTAAACCAAGAAAATAAAGGCTTCTGGCACCGACTGTACTTAATTAAAAGATAATTCAAGTATAAATTGAAGCTTATGCCATGGCTGAAGATGACTGACTGGAGTCCTCTGTTTGTTTCTTAAGCAAGAGGAGAGGGTGGATGGAAACAATCAGGGTGGCTTCTGTCCACATGTCTAGCTAGACAGACCTTTGTGACTTCACACTTTATGAGGCAAAGTTTTCTGGGTTAGAAGAATATGGTGAAAACAGTGACCCTTTAGCTCAGTGTGGCTGGGCCTTATGTTGTAGTCAAATGACAGATAACACACTCCCTGACATGGCTTCTTTTATTTGGTTTTCTTTTCTTAGTCCTATAAATTTGAAAGGAATGCAACTTTAAAGAGTGATTTCTCACAAAGAGTAAATATGCCTTTTGCAAATCAATTTTTGTAACATTATTTATATGATATTACTTAATAAACTGGTTTTTTTTCTAACTTGCTTTTTTTCCAATTCTCTCAGCTATTGTTTGTAATCATGGAGGTTTTTGTTTGTTTGGTTCGGTTTTTTAGTGTTTTGACATACTTTAACTTTCTCAAACCAGTATTTCAACTTCTTGAAGAGCGAACTAAAACTAATTTGTTATGCAGTGAGTAGCTTGTAAACCGTCATTTCTCCCAGCCTGCAGTCTATAGTACTGGTACTTCCCTATGCAACACACTGCTGGGACACCAAGAATTCTGCTGTTATTTATAGTGTTGCTGTATTGAGAAGAAGGTTGCTTGTCCCCACAGTAACTGCTTCAGATGAAAACAAAAAAAGTGGCAGTTCTCTATTTATGTCCCTTCCTAATCTTCATCCTTTATCTCATTCCTTCAAAAAACAATGGTCTGTGGATCCATCATTTAAAGAGAAAGAAAGAAAGAAGGAAGGAAAGAGAGCCAGATTGGAGTAAAATGAGAGTAAAATCCAACATCCCTATCTGAAGAGCAAATGAAATGTTTGCAGGTCATTTGGAGCTGCAAGTCTTCACATCTTTCTCTTCTTTAAGCTGTCTCCTATTTCTTCGAAGGCTGTTTGATAATTACTTTTGACTAGTAGAATTCATAGCTGTGCCAAGGAGATTTTCGTCTATCCGTTTGTTTGTTCCTGGTATATTCTGTTAAGAAGGCACAGTGTGCTATGAAACAGTAAGCCAGACTCGGATATTTTCCCTCCTCTCCGGAAGAGAGGTGTATTCATTACTTTCTGTTTCTGTGATGAAACACCATGACCAAAGGCAGCTTAGGGAAGAAAGAGTTTCTTTTGGCTTACAGTTCCAGAGGGACAGGCCATAGTGGTAGGGGAGGCCAGAGCCAGAAGCCAACACATCACCCCTTCAGCTGTAAACAAACTAGAAGGGGGCAAAGGCTACAAACTCTCAAGGCATGCCCCCGATGCCGTACACACTTCCTCCAGCAAGCCTCCACCTCTAAACGCTCTGCAACCTCCCCAAACAGGGGCCCCAAATGTTCAAATATGTGATGCTGTTGTAGACATCTCTCATTCAAAGCCCCACAAGAGATAAGAAATCAAACAGACTAGCAGGGGAAAGAAAAAAGGAATAGAAACTTAAGCATTATAATTGTTCTCCGTTGAGGTCCTGAAGGGGTCTGGGCTTAGAAAACTCTAGCAGTATCAAAAGGTTTGGGTGCAATAGAAACCTGCTATTGTTGTTTTGTTTTTCCTTGTGTTTGTTATTTTGCCAGTTGGACTGAAGGTAATGTATTCAAAAACAGAAGCCCCCAGAAGGAAATGAGGCTGTTAGAAATAACTGTTTTGAAGGCTAGGAATATTGCAATTAGTACATACTATGGTCTAGAGCCAAGTCTCCTCCTGCGAGGCACCCTCACCTCACCCGCAACTCTGTACCACCCCAGAACTGTGGCACCCCTAAGGATAGACAGAGCCAAGAAACTGAAGAATTCTGGCAAACTTCCCTAAACTGGAATGTAAGCTAGGGAGGAAACACAAGGTAAGCTCTTCAAGGAACAACAGTTCATGAGCCCAGACAGACATTTAAGTGAGATGAGTCCTTTCTACTCATAATAAACCACTCTGTTATGTTTCCATTAAAGATCAGGGGGAAACAATCCTGTTTGTCACAACCAAAAAAATCTAAAGTCTCCATAGTACTGATTTCTCACTCTTTTTTTTTATCTTATTTTTCAGTTTAAATTTAGATTAGAAACAAGGTTGCTTCACAAGTCAGTTCCAGGTCCCTCTCCGTTTCCCTCCCCTCCTCCCGTGCCCTCCCCCCCAACCCCCCAATATCCCCTCATTTCCCCAGGGAGGGTGAGGCCCTCCTTGGGGATGTCCATAGTTTTTGTCATTTCATCCAGGGCAGGGCCTAGACCCTCCCCCAAGAGTTCAGGGTGAGAGTGCATCTCACATTGTTGGGTGGGAGTCCAAAGTCCATTTGTATACTCGGGATAAATACTGATCTACCAACCAAGGCTCAATAGATTCCCTAGGCCTCCTCACTGACACCCCCACTCAGGGGGTCTTGATCAGTCCCATGCTGGATTCCCAGGCTGATGCCTGGGATTCAAGAGCTAACCTTTGTCAGGTTAGCTGTTTCTGGGGGTTAAACCAGCCCAGTCTTAACCCCTTTGGTCATCAGTCCTCCCTCGATTTCTCACTCTTGAGACATGAGAGCAGGTAGGGCCTTTCTCCCTCTTCTACTGATATCCTGGGGAACACACTGCCTCCCAAGATATTCCTGGCAGACAGAGGCCAACCAGTGGCCCCGAACTATGGCGGAAAGAGGCTAGGATACACTAGCACATGTGTAGCTGCTGAGCACCAGGAATCTGCCATCTATAACCTCAATTCCTGTCAGTCTCACACTGTCTTTCCCAAAGCCTCCTCTCAATTTCAACCCCTATAATAAACTACACCCCACAATTATTATAAAGATATCAAAAGAGGAAGTCAGAAATCATTTACACGTTTAGGTTAAAAACCATTTTATCAGGTTATTGTGTACCATGCCTGACTCCAACTCCATGGTAGGCATAGCTAGTCAATTGTCACATTCCTTGATTTCCTAAGACCTTAGATTCACATGTAGGAATATGAAGCCATCATCAATAGAGTAATGTTGGCCAATGTACTATTCCAAAGAGACAAAGTTCCTTAATGAAGACTGTTCTCTTTCATACTAAGTTTTATTAATTACTCACTTCATACATTTGGGAAGAGACATCTGTTCTTGGGGTTTTCAAAAGTTGCAATAGGTTAAGAAGCTAAAAGACTTAGCCTGCTGGTACAATTATCTCTCATCTTCTTTCATAAATTGTAATCAGCAAGGCTCATTTACACAGATCAGATATTAAGTGCTAGACTTGGGGAATCCTCAGTCTGCAGCATTCTTGTACGGTGCTACTCTTGAGGCACAGATCAACGTGACAAGGCACAGCACTAGACAAAACAGACACATACCCTTCATCAAGGCTGATGTGACTTACTGTCCCATTATTAATAATAGTTTGCCCCACTAAACAATTTATACGGAGTGACACCATGATTCGTTATAGTGCTTCTCTAGGTTTCATATTCCTGAATTCAATACTTTTCCAAATATGCTATGAATAGATATGGCTCTTTAAAAGAAGTAGATTGTCTCCTACTTCTCTCTATAATATACTTATTCCTTTTTTAAAATGTCTCCCTTGACATATTAGATCATCTTTATTGCTTCCTAAGCCATTTAGCCTCAAAAACCTAACTTTTAAAGATGAACATGTCTTGTTTGCACATTGGTAAGAGACTGTCTTCATGCAGTCAATCAAGGATAGGTTTTATTAAAGCTTTTAACTTTGCTTAGCTGCCTGATAATGCCTTACTTTTATACAGCACTTTAGAAATAACTATCATATATATTACTCAATAAAGTATCTGTACATTAGACTGTATCATTCCTAGTTCATGAACAAAGTACACAGGGCCATTTGCCTGTAGGTCCTCATCACAAGAATTCTAATGAAACTTACTTTTTTAAATGCAGATTTCACAGTCCTGCCACTGAACCCCACATTTTCTCCATGGTATGCATGTCAACTTAAGTGAATATTTATTGGGAAAAGGGGGAATTTTCTCTTTATGCAAATTCTGATGATGATGACTATGACCCCAAAGTCATTACTCTCTATGAGATCAGTCCAAAGGCTCTGTGGGGAGAAAGAAAGCCTGAAAAGCAAATTTCTGCCTATTAACCCCAATTACCCAAGTAATTCTTATTATAAAATTGGAACAGTGTTATTAAGAAAAAATATCCCCAAGAAATATCAAATTCCACCAGATCTGCAAAAGTTCTAATTGTTTACATATATATAATCTTGATAACATTGATACTTTGAGTATGAATTGTACTGGACCCCCTGTCAAGTCTCAATGCCCTATGAGAGGAGAGAAGAGGAATTAGCACTTTCTGTCTCTCCTTCAGCAATTCTGTGAATAAAGTAGAAGGTATTATAGTTTGGATTTTGAATATCTCACAAAGGTTCAGACCCCAGCCCATTGCAGTATTAAGAAGTCAGGTAACCTTTAGCTGGTAGCATTTGGTGGAACAAAGTTAGATCATTGGGAAAATGCTCTTGAAGGAGATATTAGGATCCTGGACCCATCATTTCCCTCTTTTCTTCTTGACTACCAGGAGATGGGTAGGTGTCCTTTACAACAAACCCCCTGCTATGATATACTAGGCCTCATATGTCCACAGCAAGTGGGCCAAGTGACGTGAGCTAAAACATTTGACAATAAATGCAAAAGTAAGTCTTTTCCCTTAAGTTGGTTAGCTCAGTACTGCAGGCCTTTTTCTGGAGAGATATTAATGTCTATTAACTTCTCAGAGGCTGAGACAATGCCAACAGTTGGGTGAGACATCACCAAAGTGTAAAGCTGCTCGCCTAAGAAAGGAGGAGTGGATGGATTCATGGATTCCTGAATGAGCTGGATCGTTTTATCTCAACTTGACAAAAGCTAAGGTCATCTGAGAGGAGGGAGCATCAACTAAGAAAATGCCTCCAAGCTACACAACTGTCACCCACATGCAGAGGGCCTAGGTCTGGTCTCAAGCAGGTTCCCTGGCTGTCAGTCCAGAGTTGTGAGCTCTGTTTGTGGGAGCCCTAGCAGTGGGATCAGGACCTGTCCCTGGCACATGAGCTGGATCTTTTGAAATCTATTCCTAGTGCTGGGATGCTTCCCACAGCCTTAATTCAGGGGGAGGAGCTAGGTCCTGCCTCAACTTAATACACCATGCTTTGTTGACTCTCATGGGCCTTATCCTTTCTGAGGAGTGAATGGGGGTGGTAGACTGGAAGTTGGGGGAGGAAATAGGAAGAGAGGAGGGAGGGGAAACTGTGGTTGGTATGTAAAATAAATGAAAAAAATTAAGAAAGAAAATGCCTCCATAAGATCTGGCTATAGGTAAGCTTGTAGGGCATTTTCTCAATTA